GAATTTCTTTTCGCGTCAGGTTAATCTGATGTTTCCCCCTACATATGAAGAAATCCTGAGCTGTTTCCTTTTTATACAGATTTATTTCTTGAAGCCTAGGGAAATCCAGAAATTGCCTTTGCTTCCCTCATGATGGCAATTCCCCTAGTGATAATGGAAGTGAGCTCAAGAGCAGAGTACGAACCTGTGAAGCAAATAAACACTTAGTCCCTGGTAATGCAATGACTGTACCCAAGCAATTGCAGCATCAGTGCCTTGCTATCTTATTAGTTCATCGGCATATCCTATTTGCATATTCAGCATTAAGTTTGCTGTTACTCAATAGGGAATTATATTCTTACTTAGAACTATTGTTCTCCTTCCTCTTTCCTAAGCAGTTCTCATTTACTCAGCTGCACTCCTACCTCTTCTCGTTATCTGTTTCTGTGATCCTCATAGAAATAGAGTATTTCAATATAGACTTCAGAATTAACATTGCAGTGAAATAAAGGTGAGGCACTGCAAATCCTTGCCTCTTGAGAGCACTTTTTCGGGATTTTTACTGATCCAGAAAGACAACATGTTATCTATTTATAGACTTCATATTTGGAAGTTTTCTTCCCAGACATAAAATCAATTTGTTCTTTGGGCCTAATAAATGCTGGGGGAGGGGGTGCAGGTGGGGGAGTATTTGTATGTGTATATGGAAAAGGTAATATCTGTGGAGATGAGCATGTGTATAGCAAAGCAGGATCTAAAGTGCAGGTCTGTTGTAGGACTTGTGTATGATTGGGTTATATTTTCATAGCCATCAAAACTCACACATTAAAATATTGTCCAAAAGATTAATTAGAGAGGGAAAATATTCTAGGTTTTTTTAATTATTCTCTATTCTATAGCATGGTAGTTAATCATAACATCTGCATTTTCTTCAATTTATATCTCTCTACTGTCCTTTAAAGCTATTATGGACATGTAACAAGTTAAAAGGGATTGAGAAGGATTAAATATAAGCTCTTAATTAAAGCAAATAATCCAGAACAGCCTACCTCAAATAAAAATTCTGATTCAGTTATACCTTCTGCTCCTCACCCAGGTGCCCGATCTTCCAGGTTAAAACCCCCCCAAAATAAGCTCTAATTTACTTAGTGATTGATTCAGTTATCATATGTTTCTCTACACCTGATAGCTACTGTGTTACAACATGCACAAAGAAGAGGTGAAGATATGTCTTGGTAAACTTCGACAAACGATTTGCAGTGAAAAATATTACACAATTCAAATGGTTAGGTTGCAAAACTGAACATAGGTAGGACAAGTGCTTTAACGTATATTCTCACGGTAGCAATCTGCTTGAGCCTCTGGCAGGAAAAATGTGCCTGTGATGAGCGAGAAGCATGCAGAGAGGCTCCGAGCCCAACTCAAAACTACGTGCTGGAGATAGGCGGATGAGACCAAGCCTTTGGTGGCATTTCAGGTCTCGGTCACGAGCCCACGCCATCACACGGGGAAGGGTCAGCCAGGAGCTGCAAGAGGAGTGAGGCAATGGCCCAGGGAAAGGCCCTTTGCTGGCAGTTATGGTGGCAGTAACCTGGCGCCGTTCATTTGAGGGTTTCAAAAGTGGCTGGTGGCTTTGGATGAGCAGTCTAAGATACCTTAGATACCCGCTTTTCAGAGCATTTTCACAAATTCTGACTTGTTTTAAGGTATTTTCAGCTGGGCCACCATAAACTACAGTCTCCAAAATCACTAACCACCTCAAAGTCTTGACTGTGGCCAATAGGCATTTTCTGAATTACTTTAAAATCGGTTTGAGTCACTAATGAGTTCAGCTAAAGTTTTCTACAGCTATGTTTATTTAAATACAATCGCTGTTACATTTCCCAGGGAAATATACTACCAGCACCACCAGCAAGCGCTGCATAGATTTTATATCAGCAAGACTACCATTGATTTTAGGAGCTATTTATTGCCCATGTGCCTGCCCATCAGCCACTTCCTAATGGAATTTTAACAATTCATTGGGGTCACTCGAAGGTCTTAAGGAAGCAAGGGAAATTTTTCATCTCTTTTAGAAACTAACTCTGTAAGATGGTGCCTTCATTCACAATTGTAAATCAGATGGGTGCACTTCTGCCTCCCTTTTCATTCAGTTAGTTCTGGTGAAACCTAAGTATTAATTATTGAGACATATTAAGTGTCTTTTTTTTCCAGCTTGTCCTGGCAATATATGCAAAGTTACCATCTCTAGATTATGTAATCCCTGAGCTGCTGATTGCTGGAGACTGGGAATATACAAAGCAAATACAACTGGACTGTAGGTCTGTTCTGGGACTCTGCCACAGTTGGCTGCTCTCAGACACAGGATCATGGGACAGATGAGCCCTTGGGCTGATGCACTATGTCTACCCTTACAATAAAAATACTGTTATTAGAACTAGTCAAAATCTTCCTCTCTTTCTGTTTTCTTTCCTATAGAAAATGGCCTTTTCCATTCAAGTGAAAAACTTGCACAAGAGGGACAGTTTTTTGGTTTGGGCACGCTATTTCCAATGGTTTAGCAGGAAACAACATGCAAAACCTTTTTCTTTGACAAAAACTGCATTTATTACTGATGTCATTCAGTTTTACTGCATGTGATCTCAGCTGCAGAAGTGTTCCATGGAAATGTGAGCAAAAATAAGAGGAATAGGAAGGGAATAATGATTGTAAAATATTTTTAGAGAAAATATTCATTTATCATAGAAACAGAAAAGGATAGTTTTTGATTTGGTGCTGGAGGAAGCCAAAGCAGAAGGCAGAAGTTAAATTTTTCCAGAAAACACTTTTTGCGGGGGAAAAACCATTATGCAGCAAAAGCAGCTTTTCTTAATTAAAAAGGCTTCTGATGATTGATAGAAATTCTTTAACTGTGAGGCAAGTAGCTCTTTCTCCCTCTCCCTCCTCTCCTGTAAGATCCAGAGCTACGAAAAGAGTTGGTGAGATTTGTGTATGTAACATAACGTGCTTTTCTCTACTTACAAATGTATAACACATACGAACCAAAAGCTACAAGTAGCACAGGTACTTGACGTGTACCTGTAATTTTAGCTGAGCCTTGAGTGCTAGGAGTGCTGTGGTTGTTGGACTTCTTTGCACATTACAGACTGCAGGATAATTCAGAGGATAACGAAGGGCTAAGGTGAACGAGCGCTTTGAAGAAGTGGCAGTGTCCATCACTCGCAAGCCTTCACCATCTGCAGCTGAGTCAAACCTGCTGGTTTTCCTGAGCCGCTCCAGCACGCTTCCCTCAATGCAGCTTTTCTTCTGTTTTATGGCAAGGACCAGAAGTGGCTGAAAGGAGGAACATGTTCACATGAGATTTCCTAGGTCCTTTCACGAGATCTGGATTAGGAAACGATGGTTGGAAGGTGTCTTCAAATCTGGCTTTTCTCTTTCTGGCAAAGTAAGCTTGACTACAGCAAAAGCCAACCAAGGCACGAGCCAGAAAGCACATCCCATCTTGGAATCAGGTTATTCATGTGTAATTAAGTGAAGGTGTACTGCCCAGAGGTAGTGGAGCCCACAGCTAGCTAAGCGCTTGGCTCGTTGGCACGAAAGCCGTTTCAGACAGAGCCCTGACGAACGCAGCCGGGGCCTGGGAGGGAGCTTAGCACGCAAGTTGACCTGCACTGCCGAATTTGCGGCTAACACCGGCGCTGGGCTTTTTGGAGTTTTACAATGGTGCCACAGTTCCCAGTCACTATGGCAACTGATTTTTGAAAAGGCACTAGTTAAAAAAGTGAATTGAAAGTGAAGCTTGGGCTTTGGTTTTTTTTTTTCCTTGCTCGCAGGTTCCCATGGGAACAGCCGGAGGCTCGTGGAGGCTGGCCTGGCCTCCTGAAAGCCTCGGTTTGGGTTCCCCCTCGCGAGTGAAGCACGGCTGAGTCAGCAGCCAGCTTCTCCAGTGAAACAGAAATGAGTGTCAGAGAAACAGTGTGGCCTGTCCCTCCCTCCATCACGCAGCCCAGCGGGGACTGTCGGAGGCGTCTGCAGCAGGAGAGCAGCACCGGGGTAATGTTGTTGCATGTGGCTCCAACAGGTTGGGCTGAGAGTGCTAGATGATGTCAGGAGAAATTTCGTTAATACAAATGACTTTGTTCTTTACTATATTGTCAAAGCTCAGATCTGCAAGCAAACACTGCTGTGTGGTTATGAAAGGAAGAGGATAATGATACGAGGGCGGGCTTTGCCCTTTCTACGTGCTCTGCATACCTGACTGCCCGACCTTGAGGGAGCTGATTCAGACCTAACAGAGAGAGCGCAGCAAAAAGGGGCTTTTCTTTCTGTGTGTGGGCAGTAAGAGGGTCTTTACTGAAAATGGCTTTGTCCTGCAGCTTGCTAGCTGCGTTCATACCCTGCTGGATAGCTCATGCTTGGCTCTAGTGAGCCAGCCACAAGCAAAAAAACTAGTACTTTCAGCCTCTCACCAGAAAAAACACACTTCCATGTCTACCAGACTCAAGTCAGGATGGTGGGGAAGCTGCTTTTCGTCCTTTGCCATGACCACATAGCCCAGGAGGCACAATTTAGAGTCTACCTGTTGGCAAAATTAAGGCAAAAAGTACTTCCAGCTTTTCCTTCTGAACTGCTTGGCGGTCATGGCACGTGCTAGCTCCTGAGCAGCGGCCCTCATTTTAATGGTCCATGTTTATGTGTCACTGCTTGACATTAGAGAGTCATGCTTGATACTTTTGACAATGACACTTATTACCTAGGAATCACAAAGCGCTTAGGATCTGTATTGACAGCCCTGGAGGCATAGCTAGAAATCTAAAAGCCCTTCCCAGGGGCACCGTGAAGGTAGGACTGCTCCCTTCCTGACTTCATCGCCCCTCAGCTGTGCCAGTGTAACTACCGTGGTGCTCTGCTGAATGAAAAAGAAAAGACTGGGGGCTGGAGAAGTCCTGGAGGGGGGAAAGAGCAGCCGGAGGTGGAGGAAAGGAGGGAGGGAGGCACTGGAGGAAATCCTCATGTAACTAACTACCCCCACCCCCGGAGGAGCTCAGGAAGACCGATGTAGGCCGTACCCTACCTGCAGCTCTTACTGACACCTAATTTGTAGGTGCCTGGATCCAGGAGGTGATTCAGAGTACTTTATTTCCATATACAAGCGCTAGAAGGAAGTGAAGACTCTTCTAGGGAAGATCCAGAATGTTAGCTAATTATAAAGAGACAGAAAGAAGCGTTTCCTTCTTTCTCTGAAATTTAGGCACCTGAACTGTTGTATCTAGTCAGTCATCCCTTCCTGAAACAATAAAATCCACGTTTAGGAGAACCAAACGCAGGAAGGGAAATGTTATAGCCCCACGCAGTACTGATCTAGTAAAATCTTGAACAAAAGTATGAACAAGCTTACAGGCTTGCTTTTTCCATCCAAATTAGTGCTGAGTATGTCAGCATGGGTCCACGCTGGCATACTTGGACCTTTCAAGCCACAGGACATTTCACCAGTCCGTTCCCACTTGTTGTGCCTGCATATTGTCTGTGGAGGCCCAGGCTCTGCAAAGAGCCTGCAAGAAAGCCAAGGGTGGCAGTGAGCGAGCGAAGGTGCCTGCACCATGAGACCCCTGCTTGTGCCCAGAGTCGTGGTGCCAACCCTGCTCCAGAAGATGGCGGTGATTCTCAGGCCAAATTTTGGAAGTTGCCCCTCGTCCAAGGCCTATGCACCGTTTCCAGGGCAGGCGGAGCCTGTGAATGACGCAGGCAGGGACTGCCATGGAGGACGAAGGTGCTGCTGGGATGGAACAGGCTCCCAGGAACCAGGGATTTTCTCAGCCTCAGGTGCCCCACAGGAACCCTTAGAGCAAAGCCATGAGCAGGCAGCTCCCAGCTCAGGTAAGGAAGCCTTTGAAGGCTCCTTCCGCTTGCATTTATTTTTAGTTTGTTTTGCTTTCTCTCCCCTAGGGTTTTCTCTTTTCCTGGACGTGCTGTCAGGCCCTGGGCACTTAGCCAGGAGTGCAGTTGAACATTGCTGGTCATTCTCTGGCCTGGGAATTTGTGCTTCCAGCCACTGTTCCTCCAGTCTTTTCTGCCGCCCTCCTTTGCTCATCAGCCAGAATGTCATGGTGGCAGCTTTCAGCAAACAGAAGCAGATGCATGTGCCCATGCATTCCTCTGCAGTACCTACCATTGCTCCTTCTGTTCAGAAGCATATTTGGAGAAGGGAAGGGAGGCAGGACCCATGTCCTACCCTTCTCAGAAATTACCAGCTATGCATTGATCATCAAATAATGTTTCAGGGAAGTCGGGCTGACCTAAGCTACTGCTTAGGATAGCTACCAGCATTGCCCTCTTCCCTGGAAGAGCACTTTTTTGTCTGGCAATGCCCTAGATGCTGCAGTACAGAAGCTCAGGAGACACTTCTTTCAGCCTCTCTGGCCATGTTTCACCTGCTCTTGTGGAAGGCATAGCCTTGAATTTGGGCCAGCATTTCTCAACCGTAAATATCTGCAATAGCCACCTGAAAGATAATGGTTTGCCCCCACCCCTTTAGTTTGTTCATATTTCAATAGCTACCAAACCTTTAGACTTCAAGCTACTTTCATTTCTGCGATTGCCACCTCTGCCCTGGGAAGACAACTGCTGTAGATAAAGGGCACTAATCTGATGGAAAAGAGAGGCTTTGGCCCGGCCCTAGAGCCAGTCCATTCCACACCTGCACCCTGGGCTGCTGGGCCTGTGTCACAGCAGCCAAGAGCAGAGAGCAAGGGCAAGAGGAAGGGGCTCCCTCAAGGTTTTAGGTTAAGCAGGGCTATTGCTGCCATGAGTCTTTGCCAGATCTGTCTCATGAAGTGGAGCACAACCTGGAGCTCCTCCAGTTTGCAGAGACCCAGTCTAATAAGACCACACAGCCAGGCAACCTGCCTCTTGGCAGGATGTTAGCCCCAGGCTGGCACAGTGAGCCTGCTAGGTTACCTCCCAACGCGTGTCGTATTTCTGAGGCATCAGATAGCTCAAGTTCAGGGGCTTTGTCTCAGGGACATGGGGATTTGGGGTAATACAGTCATTATTTTTTGTTCTTGCAAGTACGAAAATATTTCAAGGTCATTTGGGGCTTTCATCCATGGGACCTTCATCCATTATGCTCCTTTATAAGTATACCTTAAAAGTGTCCAGGTTCAGACATGGGCAAACATAGAGGAGCATTAGACATAAGATGAGAAGCTAAGGATAGTGCTTTGTTGAACAGGGTTTTCTTCCACGCAAATCTAGTAGCATGCATTGGGTTTTCTCCTCAGTAGTCCTCTGCCACTCTTTGCCTTTTGGTGTCTCACTAGCTGGCCCAGTACTGGTGAAATCAAGTTAGCCAAAATGGACAGCAGAATAGGAACAGAAGGTCACTCAGTAGGCGTAACTGATGCCTTTGGAACAACAATTTCAGAACGTGAAGACCGTAAAAATCTGGTTGTTAGTGGTTCTGCTCTTGAGGTGGCTTTTTCCTACTATCTTACCAGAAGATTGCTTTTAAACAAGCAATTTTCATTTTAGGGAAAAATAGAAGAGTTGTAACTTGCTCATTGGACCGTAGGCGATCTATTTCATCTCAGTTGCTGTTTTCCTTGTTCTGTGCCTCACCTTATGGAAGATTAAGATGGTTTAAATTAGAATTTTTATTTAGACCAGTGGAAATGTAATTGAAGACCAAGAATGATCTTACAGAGAAAGATGGTACCTAGGAATTCCTGTGCTCGTTATTATCCAGGTGTAGGAGGCAAGTTGTTTAAAAATCCCTACTATGGTGGTTGAGAGTTGGGCAGCATTTAGGAACTGAAGTCCAAGAAAATGATTCAGAAAGTGTGTTAGACTGCACTCCAAATTCACTCTTAGTGAACAAGTCAATAATGCGTCTTTGTGGATATCATCTTCTGTATTTCCGCTGGACACAGAACTAAGTTGGCTTTCTCCTAATCTTCCTTCCACAGGGCAAAATAAGGCTCAAATACAAGGTAATGAAGATCAGCATACCCTTTAGCAGAAATGTGAAGTGCTTCTCTTGCACAGTTATCACTATTTTCATTTCTGATGTTTCACAGTTTACAGAGGAAGCTCTGTTCATCACCAGAGTTCATTTAGTCTCTGAGACAGGGCCAGCAAGTGACCAAAGCATAAGGGATGATAAATCCAGCATAAATAATGGAATCTGGATTTAGATCAGCAGTAGGAGAATTACACGTTTGAGAAGCTTACAGAAAAGCTTTGGAACTTAACTTCATTGCTAAGGAAAGCTGCTGAAATTTTTTAATTTTTAAAACTTCTAGATAGCTAATGCTCATTTGTTTTCCTGAGGTGGAAAGAGTGAGAAGGTGACAGTTTGGTTTCACTATGAAGTAAACGTGCTGAGCTCAGCCTGGGTCTGTCTCTGGAAGTGCTGACCTCAGGGTATGCTGAAGTGCCTGCTTTTCATCGTATGATAACTCATGCCCGCTCATGGCACTGCTGCGAAAAACTACAGCTCTTCCAGCAGTGAAGACTAACTTTGTACTCATAAGGGAGCATGGTAGAAGGCTTTCCAGCAGCAACAGTGCACTAATACTAATGTTTTGGTTTGAGTAATTGATGGGAATATGGATTTACTTCAACCCGAGGTAGAATTTGTATGTTTTTGTTATGCTCAGTCATGAATGGCTGCTTTCATTCTGCACTGTATAAGCTGGGTAGCAGAAGTCCCTTCAGCAAAAGCCTCTCCTCGAAGGCATTGCAGTGCATCTTATAACTTTGAAAAGCAGAATAGCAAGAGGATTAGGAAACGTCAAGCCATGTGGAACATGTATGCGTAATCTCTTCCAAGGAGTTTTCTTATCAGGGAAATAGTTGGAGGATTTATTCCTTGTTGGCAGTGGCAGAGCCGGGAGCTGCTGCTGTGCAAACAGACAGCAGTGGGATTGACGCAGACACCCGAGACTCAGCCCTTCCTTTTGGATTAACGTGCTCCGACTCATAACATTATCAGCCATGGAAATCATTAGAGAATATTGCATTTGTACAGTGTAAGCATGATACCCTATTTAGCAGAAGGGAAGGATAGCTAGGGGGCTGGACACTAAACTCGCATTTATGCTGTCTGGATTTAAGTCTCAGCTCTGCCACAAATCTCATGTTTCTCTCCTACTGTCTGTCGCTTGAGTAAGGCACAGTGTAGCTTGAACTGTGGTTGGCATTTCTAGGCACTGTTGGTAATACATGTAATATGGATATTTGCTTTCCAGTGTCGTGCCTACGAGAGTTTGCACCTCTGCATCAGTGCCATTAGTTTGCTGAAGCTCTCTGAAATGAAAATACAAACACACTATAAAACACTATGAAACAGGTGCTCATATTTCATGTTCTTGACCTAGGCTTATTAAAGCATTTACAGGGGGTCTGATCTCCAGCCTATTCATGTTAATGAAGGTCTCTGTGTTCGCTTCTGTAGGCTTCAGATCAAGCCCAGGGAAATTAATTACAGAAACTATTTACAGGAAAAAAAATGAAAAGAAAAGCATGGTACCAGAGGACGCAAAAAAGAATAGCGGTAACAATGTCTGATCACTCAGAACTGCTCAAAGGTTTTTTTAGTTAAATGATCAAAGGTGTTGATATAATTAAGTATGAATATGATGACAGAAAAGTGTTCCTTTATCTAAAAAGTGATTAGATTAGATTAGATTAGACCACTATACACTGACTTTTGAATAACTGCATGTAATTGGGTTTACAGCAATAAACTGACCAAGCAAACGTTCCAACCTGTTGCTGAGAATATGGCTGTAGGCAAAGAAGATCTGAATCGCAGGAACAGCCTTGCTAAAGTACAGGCTGCAGGCGGTAATTTAATTGCTCTGGTCTAAGGCTGTGCCTTCACCGGACAACATATTTGGCAGCAAAATCAGTTAATGATATTCTTCCTCCCCATCCCTGGGGGATGCTGCGTTTCGCCCGTCGCTCCTGCCTGCCCTCATCCCAGCACCGGCCTTGGCGCCACCAAGACTTCTGTGAGTCCGGCGGGGAAACCGAGCCCGCTTTAAAACCACACGCACGCAGAGACAAGCACGCTTATTTTGCTGGGTTATTTTTTAACCTCAGTCCACCCAGCTCTGGTTCAGCGTATGGCCTCTGGAGCCGTGGCAGTAACACAGGGCCAAGATAGCCCAAGGTGAGAGGAAACAGGACGGGACGGGGTTGGGGACAGGGATGGGGATGGGGACGGGGACGGGGACGGATGCCAGCCAGCCAGCCAGCCAGCCAGCCAGCAGCATTGGCTTCCCCTTTGCCAAAGACTCCACAAGACTCCACGTGATCTAAAAACCACCAGAAACACCCATGGTTTTGGGTTGGTTTGTTTCTTTTTCATGTAGTCAAATGCTGTTTTTACAGTAACTGTTTGCTTAAAAAATTGTTTAACCTTGCAGGAAGTGATGGAGTGTGATTAGCCATTCACTGAAATGCGGGAATCTGCACAGCAGTTCCCCTCGCAGTCCCATTCCTAGCCTGTCGTTACTCCAATTAAAAGCGGGTTTAAGATATTTAAATAATCACCCATTCAGCTACATGTATGAGAAAATGCATTCACTCAGTACAATAATGCAATTGTCCCTTTTCCTGTGAGATGGCAAAAGAGCCATTTTGAGAAACAGTAACTGAAAAGTGAAGACAGTCAGACAGCCTGGGCAGGGGAAAACATAAAATCGAATAGCAAACATGCACGAAAGAGCCCCTCTGCGTTCACAGACCTCAGGGCACGAAGCTAACAAAGCAGGCTGTGTGAGACGGGAAACCACACCACTTCACCAACAAAAGAAATATGTAGATTTGGGTTAACTCTTTTTCAAATTGGCAAAAAAAACCAGAGCATGAGTGGGCTGATCTTGTTAGGACTTTCACTCATGTAAATCAGGAGCAGCCAGGCTCTGACCACTCATTTCAGTGGTCAGGTATGCTAACGTAGAAATGATTTAAGTGAAAAAAGGGTCAGATCCAAAAGAATAGGCGCAAACCCTGGCAGTCAGTCCTTGTTCTTAGTAATAGCCCTAACATTTCTGTGGCACTGACCTAAAAAAACCACAAAGTCCTAATGACAAATTATTCACAGCACGGATGCTGCGACATTACTATAGACCCAAAGAGCAGCAGCAGAGGAGGTCTATGTTTAGCCTGAGAGAATGAAAAGGCATTTTTACAGTTGTTTATGTTTATTTGTTCTATAAATACTGAGACAGGATTCCTTTCTGGCCAGTCTGTGGATCTGATTAATTTGTTTTGCAGCTTCATTTTTGTGACTATAAATTCAGAGGTGACTGAGGATTGCAACACACAGCAACCACAGCTGCTAAAAATAAACCACCATGACATAATATATACAGCAATGTTTAACCGCAGCGTTGCCCTATACCTCAGCTCTTTGAAGTCCCTGTACGTAGGCAGACTCGTGTTTGGAGGTATAAAAACCTGCTGTGGTCATGAATGATTGTGTCCAGAGCAAGAGGGTGAGGGGGACGAGAAGAAAAGAATATGTCTAAGAGGAATCCTGAGCTGCTGAGCGGACACACGGCCAAACGCTGCCCCATCCCATAGGGATGGGAGGGGAAGCGTTTTCCCTCGGGAAACTTAGCATTCCAGCCTTTTCAGTGTTGCACAGCATTAATTTCAGCTCCAAACAGTTATTAAAACAGCAACCTCTAGAATCAAGACAACAAAGAAAGAAAAGGGTGTGATGGGAATCAGAATGATGTGATTTTGAGGTATTATTTTTTGCAAAGTCGCAAGCCTAGAAATAAATCCTGCCAAATAAAGTAAAAATATTTCCCGGGCTGCAATCTTTTTTTTTTTTCTTAAAGTTTTCAGGCCCTCAGGTATTAAACAGTTCAGAATAAGGGCTATTAACTCCCTGATGCAAGGTCTGCAGCGGGCGCCCCGAGCACAGGGCAGGGCATTACAGCCCTGGGCGCAGCTCAGCAAGCACCCCGGGGCCTTTGCAGCAGGGCTGGCAGAGGCAGAGCCAACGCTTTGCCCACTGCTGGCTGATCTCCTCTGGGTCACTGAGCTAAAGAAGAGTCAGGGAAGGGCTAGAAAGTGGGAGAAGAGTTGTCTCTTTTTTTATACATGTGTCATCAGAGCAGGGATTATGACTTTTTTCTACCTTTGCATTAAAATATTTAAGTATACTTCTTGCCTTAAAAGTCTATGGTTCCAGCCCCTATAAAATATACTGGCCTGACCCAATTAATGGGACCCACTGACTCATAAGCAAAATACTTTTTGGCATTGCAACGTGGAGCAGTTTTGTGACTTTAAAGGTCTGGGGGTCATTATCTCACATAACAATGCAGTTTATACCATTCTGCTTGGCACGTTTGGTTTCTCGGACCAGGAAATGAAGAGGACTGCAAAGGAAAAGCATAAAGGGTTTGTGCGAGTAAAGTCAACGTTTATAAGCTGCAAGAATGCCAATCACCAGTGTGGGGATTTGGCAGAGATCTCAACCATCAGTGGTCTTCCTTTATTTTGTTCAAGTGGCTGCTGCTTGAAGCTACTTGTCCAAGTAACTTCATCACTAAAAGCATCAGCAGAGCAGTGGTAACCAGTGTTTCCTTCCTCTTTGACAGTCCCCGTCCTCCCCATCACAGAGGGAGAGGCAGAAGTTTCCTGGCTGACACCAAGGAAGCCGACAGGGTGATGTCGGCTGGCAGCCCAGCAGCGTGGCACAACAAGTATCACGAGGAGAGGCCAGCTCTGCAACTCAGCGGTGAGCAACGCAGCATCTGGTTTAGCCGCTACAGCATGGGTTTAGTTTTTTAGTTGCCTGTACTTAGGGTCTTAGAGTTCCCTCTGCGTCCTCCTATTTATTTGCTTATGGCACAAATTCAGCTATCATGCAATACTCTAGCTGACCAACTGAAGTCCTCTCCTCCTCCTCTCCTCCCCAGTACTGGCTCCAGCCCAGGTGATAATGCTCTGGTGATCCTGAAGGATTTCAGAGTAGCTGCTGGCAGGTGGATGGAGACTGCCCATGTACAGGGAAAATGTAGCCTAACCTCAACACGACATAACTGATGGTATCCCATTCCTCCTCGACGGACTACCATATTGCTTCCTGCATGCAGGGGAATATTTATGAGGAGTGTTCACAAGGTCACAACATGTGATGTGGTTGTGCTCAGGATTAGTTTAATGGGACTGCAATATAACCTGTGAGACAGCTTCTCAGCTGGTAAATCATGTTTAAACAGAGAAAAACAAATACACTGTCTTACTGCTCCAGTCCTTTTACATCTAGTTGCTTAGTATTGTTCCTAGCTTGTGTCCACTTTGCAGTGCTTCAGCAAAATTGCCAGGCAAACTGGCCAAAAATCAATTTAATAGAGATTAAAAAAAAGGATGAGATATAACAGTCATTGATGGGATAGACAGACATATCAATCTGGCAGCTTGTCAAACTCGTCAGAGCAATCAACTGTGCTCATTAAAGGTCAGAGTTGTGCATTCGCCCCGGCATTATCAGCAAAGGCTTGAATGAGGCCCAGATTGGTCAAAAGAGATTTTCCTCACAAAATTTCAGGTAAATAGATGAGTAAGAAGAGCTGTCAAGACCAGTTCCATACCACAGTTTTCGCTCCAGAAACTGATTTCTGTGTCACAAACCCAGGTGGTAAACTTTTCCTTTTGTTCCAAATAAGGGTGAATCTTTGCCCTAACAGTAAATATATTTAAAGGTAGTTTTCAAGCAGAGGCCCCCAAATCATACAGATGTAGAGTTAAATGCCAGTAAAACTAATGCTAGGTTTTGATTTGATTGCATTCAGTTGTGCAGGAATGTAAATGTTTACATAGACATGTTTGCTGCAAACCTTTTTGCCTCTACACCAGAAAAGTGATGGGCCTTGGGGGTAATTCAAGAAGCAGCAAACTTTCTGTAAACACCTAAACTTTGAATGAAAGATGCTACCACCATTACTGCGATTTGTTTTGTTCAATATCACAGAAGCTGATGTATTATATGACAACTGCCAGGAGGTGACATAAAATTGAAGACAACTAGGGTGAGGTAGGGAAAACCTACTTCTTCTTTGGAGGTCAGCAACTCTGCAGGAAAGAGTAGCAGCGGTGCCCACTAGTGCTCCCAAGCAGTGCCTGTGAGGAGCACCGCCAACACTGGCCACTGGCACAGGAGGAGCCACTGGCCCTGCAAAGTTTCTCTCCTCTGCACTTCAAGAGGTTCCCTTTGCTCTAGGCCCAGAAAGCATAATGCAGAAGACCCTACAGCTTGCTCATTTGTGTGGGCTTTGGGAAACTTATGGGAAGGGAGTTTGCGCTGGGCAGACATCAGGGAGTTCCTCTCTTGTGCATCTGACAGAGGCCCCAGCAACGATAGGATTTAAGCCTGGTTTTATTCAGATATCTCCATGGCAATCAGTGAGGTCTTCCGCTGACAAACTGGTTACCCAGTATGGCCACGGGTGTGAAATAGGCACTTGGCTGAGAGCTGTGCCTCAGTAAGGACCTTGGGATTTGACCTTTAATTTTGAATGTGTGACTGTATATACAAGCCATCACATTTTGTCTGCAGCGTGCTTGTCACAAAAATCACTCACACAAAAAGGGCCTGGAGCAGGTATGTAGCAGGCAGAGGCCATTCTTGTAACACCGCAGCTTGGCAATTGCCCTGAGGACACGGGACTTACTGACCCTGCCACAACAGTGGAGAAGTGGGAGCTTTTCTCAGGGGGAAAGGAGGGTTGAAAAGACATCTCTGGGCAGGGACGGTCTGTCCTGCTAGGAGCTGGGGAGCTGGGGCTGCCCACTGTCACTCCACCACAGAGTCTTTGCCTGGGATCTCCACAGGTTGGGGCACTTGGAAAACCGTTCAAGGGACAAGTATTGCTGCTAATTAAGAAACAGATATTATTCCTTTTGGAGCGCAATGCTAGTGCTGCATGAGGTAAGAGTAGCTATTGGTGTTCTGACTAAGGCAAATAGATCTGCAGAGGTTTCTTAACAGTGAAAAGGCTATGTTAGGATTGGACACTGCATTGCTCTAGCATTGGATCCAAAGGGGTTCGATATCCTTCATTCCACGGCTCAAATGCAGCAGCATCTTCGGGAGGAGGTGGCAATTATCAAATGAATGCAGAGTAGCATTTACAATATATACAAGATCGTTACCTCAGCTATTATTTATTGGACAGTATTGATTTCCCCATCTCTAGCATGCTAGTACCCAGTAAAGAAAGAGTTAAAATCATAATTGCAGGTGCTTGCACCTTGTTGCTGGGTCAGCAGTTTGTCTGATAAAAGAGCCCTGACCTCCTCAGCTGTAGAGGAAAAGTCCAAAGGTATCTTCAGAAGTTATTGGGACTGTTTGCCAGAAAACAGAAGCGCAGCGATCCACACAAGGAGGCAGCCTGGGGCATACAGGTACAAAAAGGTGTTGCAACATGGCAGAGGCCTCCGACTGTGAAAAGGAGTGTAGATCTTGACTCATAACTTTGCAATGCCCCTCAACCATGCGGTTGAGTGGAAAGCCTCAGTACATTTAGCAAAGGCAGAGGAGAACATGAATTTGAAACCCCAACCACAGGATGCCTCCTTTGATTGCCATGAACCGAATCTTGCTCGATCTAAGATTTAGTGCCATAGCTGCAATGCTTCCTGCAATCCCTCTGATGCCAGAGAAAATGACTTGCCTATTATCTTTACTATTAAAGCCTGGATTTCCTGTACAGGGAAAGTCCTCATGCAAAAGCGCAGAACATGTTTTAAAGAGGGAGCAGAATGTGCTCAGATTGCGAAGCAGCTGATCTAAAGGCAGTGAGACCCTTAGGGAACCCTGGTCCACAATAGTCGACATTTGAGACAGGAAATGATTGTTTATTTAACTGACTGAACTGAAAACTGCCAGGGAATTTAAACAAGGGAAATGGAATTACTAAGGGCAGCATTTGGCTAAGTAAGACACGAAGGCTAAACCTCCTGTGATCGTGGGAAATAGTATGAGATATTTAACATCTGTAAGTGGTGGTGGCCTCTGCTTTGTAATTCATCTAAAAGACAGATCAGGTGGGCAGGGGATCACCAGGGGATGGTCCCTGCTTCTCATCAGCGCGGCTTCTTGCAGTGTTTAGCACTTCTCCATAGCTTCCCTTCCAGCTCCACAGACTTGACTTGAAGTAGCTTGATTTCTGAGATTTCAATGCCACAATTTAAGCTTTTATGGCACTGGGCTATGCTGCTCCTAAATACACATGTTTTTTTAAAAATACTTCAGTAAAAATACTTTTGAATACATTTGCTAGTTACGAAAGACATTTCGATTAAGATGATGGCCTTTCATTCGGTGCTTTTCTTCACTCTTCCTAGCCACATGCAGTAAGCTCTGGGATCTGTCACCAACTGTGGCAGAGAATGACACCTGGGAGTTTGACTTTGCTGGAGGAACTGGCTGCAGAAACCAAGCTGAGAGGAGAAAGCCTCTGTGAGTCAGGCAACATCCATAACAGCCAAGGGAATAGAGAGAACGGCACAATGTAAAAACATTCATTATTTATCAGTTGGTACCCAGAGAAAAAAAAAAATCCGTGGTGTCACTGTGTGGGATCCTGTTCATAGAGGTTAGGCGTTGAAATGGAGACATGTACGGCCTGATGTCCCCAGCCTGCCTTGCATGCTGTTGTAATTGTAACCATTGCAGTTCAGGCTTCAATATGGGTTGCGAAACCTAGGCAAAACTGGGATGGCTTGCCCATGCTGAGCAGGTACGCATCGTGCCACAGAGCAGTGACCTTATCCTCTTTCTCCAGCCCACGCAGGGGCAGAGTTTGACCAACACCCATCCAGCAGCGCTGCTGAAAGCCTTGGCCGTAGGGGATCTAATGTGTTGTTGCTATTAGGTTTGCTTCCAGCTGAACGGTTCCCAGTCTGCTTCACTGTGCAATTGTACAAATCCTTGTGCCAGCACAAACAAGGGCCCATGAAAAGCTGGGGCCGCAAGCAGAGCAGAGATTTCTTCTCTCAGCAGCTGCACTAGCTTGGGCCATCCTCAAATGATGGTAGGACTCCTGCTCCATGTACCACTTCAAGCAACTGCAGCAAGCATAAAACCCTGTGAGATAATTATTCAGATTCTCCTGAAATTCTGCATGGATCCAGGCCACATTTTGAAAATCCGGATCAGCTATCCCTTGCTACTGCAGTTTTTAAGGGAGTCAGTTTTTGTTTTTGAAGGGATACGCTAGGCCAAAAGACAAGGTCAGAGAGACTGAGAGATGGGGCCCGAAGTGGACAGGGTGGGGGAGGATGGATGTGGAGTGAAGGTATAACTTTGTCATTTTCTCAGTGGCAATGCCAGCTTCAAGAGTCCCCAGCTTCTGCCACAGTCATGGCCTCCCTATCATCCCTTCAGTCACTTTATCACCCCTGGTTTGTGCCAGGAGGCTGTGCAAAAGGAATCGAAGCAACAGCCCGTCAGCACAGAGGAAAGACCGTCCAGTGAAATGGCACAAGTGTGCTATCAGGACCCATCAGTCTATGTGTGAGCTGTTCCTGTTGGCTTCAGGCAGTGGCGTGTTCCTCCTTGTACCTCTCTTTGCTTAATTTCTGTGCACTGCATGCTCTCTAAATATTCACATGGCTTTATCGGGAGGAGAGTGCTTCACAGGAGAATGAGCATATGACACCAAATCATCCCATGCTGAGCGCCACCAAGTCATCACAACCTTGGACAATCAATCAACTGATTTTGTGTTATTTATGTTGCCCTAAAGGCTACATTTCAGGACTTGAAATGTGTGGATTAGAAAAGCTGACAACAACTCATTCTGTTAGGCTGTTTAGTAATGCTGCACAGGCCTTGTTTGAAAAGCTTGCTTTCAAGGGAGGGAATATATCCAACTTGCAGACCAACTTCCTCCTCAATTACAGTGAACAAAAAGTCTTCAAAATATTTAGAATCTGATTTACGCTAACAAAGTCAAAGAAATAGGAGTTAAAACTCAAACTCCTGCTTGACACACTATTTGTAGTTCATCCAGTGGTAATGAGCTAGATTCTTGCCCGGTATAAATGGGCATAAATCCACTAAAGCCATGCAAGAATGTTGATTTATGCTTGCTACAAATCTGGCCTTTATTGCAGTATTTCACTGTAAGCTCCAATCCTCTTTGCACTGCTCATTTATTGGAACGGAATTAGATTTACCAAGGTATGCTCGAACAAAATGGATTGCTTTTCCTTTAAATATTTTGTACCAGGAAGAAAAAGGTGGTCTATTTCAACATAAAGCTGTTAATAAGATATTTTTGCTGAAGGAAACTCCGAAACAATAGTATCATTTGTTACAATGCCACAAGTTATTTATTTCTCAAGGTTACACCAAATGAGTATGAGATGCTCTACAAGTTACAAGCTCTTTCTAGGAAATCTGAGGTGATAAATCTGAAGAATGGAGGTTGAAACAAGTTTAACTTAAATGCAATTGCATAAAAGCTTAAATATATGCAGCTGAATTATTTGATGAAAGTCTATTGGAATTAATGTGCCTTCATGCTTGCTCGACTGAGACTATGTTCCTCTAGAAGACCTCACTTTCTTTATTGCTAAGTCCCTTCAGTGGGGCTCCGCTCCTTCACTGAGGCTCAGCATTGTGCAAGATGCCAGACTTTCCAGAAGAAAATCAAAAATTTAAGTTATTAGTTTTAAATGTAACACTCTCTATTTTAGACTATACTAACTGCATGATAAATATAGCTTATCCCTGTAAAGAGCCATGCTGAGAAAATTGCATGTGAGATTACACTACTGTAAAGTGCTCAGTATGGGGGCTACACTTAAAAGATGGAGCTCATGTAGGAGGTAGCAGCCTGTTTTCTAAATTCTGTTTCACATAGGGAACATCTTATACTGGTGTTTTCAGTCTGCACTAGGTTTTGATTAGTTTCCTGATGATGTCTGAAGCGCTGGCTTTGCACTGAATTGTTTACAGCCTGGCCACCAGCAAAGACTTCTCCATTAACATGAGAAAACAGCCATAGGGATTTGCCATCGAAACATTAAGGTTGGTACAAATAAGGTATGAATGGCAATGTATGAGTGTAAAATCACCCGAAAACAACAAGAAGGGATAAGGGAAGGGCATGTGCAGGCACACCAAGATCAGAAGGTCATTGAGATCGCAGCACGCTGTACACAGCTTCTCAAGACACCCAGATCTGGAAAACCAAGAGGTGTCTTAAGACAAAGCATCAGGGCCCTGAGGGCACTAATAGGTCTTAATGGCCCTGGCGAGCCTCACCTGGGACCCCCACCCATGCACTCTGCCCAGGGGCTCCATTTAAACTCAGGCGTGGGCACCTACTTTGTCTGTGAGCTGTGCTATTGAATGACTTTGTCTCCAGCCTGGTCTCCTGGATGGAGACAGGACCACGTTGGCGGTCGCTTGTCTCCAGCGCCATCTCCTGGATGGCACTCAGACCTACACTGGAGGTACCTTTGTCTCCAGCCCTGTCTCTTGGATGACTGCACATCAGACCTGTGTTGCAGCCTTGTTTCAAGTCTCATCTCTCTTCCCGTTTCTGCTGCTCCTGGATGGACCTTGGACCTGACTCATTGCTTTGCCTTGTCTGGGACTGCTGACAGCCCCTGCTCTCAGTACCCCACTCTGCCTGGTGTGCTAAGGGACTGCGCCCTGTCAGTGAGGGCACTGCCTGTGCTGGGGTCATCCTGGCTTGTGCCCTGTGTGGAGCAGCCCCCATCCTGCTGCTCCCTGACACAAGGCACAGACTAACCCACAAGAGGATGGGGGTAAATCAGAAATGATTCACAGGGGTGGGCCATGGGGGAGAGGCAGAAGAGTGCCAGCACTATCAAATCCTAAAGAAAAAATGCAGGAGAGGTGATGGGAACTTGGCAGCTAGCATCCCTTGCCTTCCTTGTCTCCAGAGGGAGTCCTGGCGAGACTCCACGGCCATACTCCAGCCTTGTGCAGATGAAAGAATGAGTGAGTACTGTCTACAAGAGAAAGCATGAGTGAAATCTGTTTAAAATAAAATCATCTTCCTTACCTATGTGGCCTTGCACTGAACTTTGCCATGTTAGTTGAACATAAGCAAAGCAAAACCCCTGAGAGAGCGCTCCGATCTGATAGAGAGCGGCAGGGTTTTTTTTGTGCCCTGGATTCTGGAGTTTGTTCCCTGATAATGTGCAAGAGATTGGGTTTGTTAATCTTGGAGGGTGGGGGGGGACCCGGGTGGGGGGGGGCCAGAGCGGGGATTTGTTAACCCAGGGAGGTGCTTGCACAAGGCTGGAGGAGGCTGGGATGAAGAGGTGCAAAAGGTGGAGGGGCAGAGTTTCAAGCAGCAGTTAACTTCAGGTTGCTTTCATTTGGCAGCTTAGTATGTTTGTATTTTCATGTGTAATATAGTAGAGATCTGTAAAAACAGCTGGGAGTTTAACTTTCAGAAATGCCAAGGCCCCACAAAATGAAGTAGATCTTCAAATAAGGCTCTCAGCACTGTTTGGGAAATAAATCCAAATATTTCGGTACGTGTTTGAAAAGAAGATGCTTTGGCTCCAGAGCGATATGAGAAAATGTACAATCCATTTGATCTGCTTCAGATGCCACAGCCATCTGCAACTGCATGTGGTGAACACACATTTCTCAGTTTTGCAGGCATCTATGATTATGAAGAGCTCTGCATACTTTTCAGTAAAAATAGATAAACCTTCAGTATGCTCTTTTTATTATTTGCTTTTTAGCTCAGCAGCTCTCTGTGAAAGGATCTGCTCGAAAGCTCTGCGGGGTTTGAGGCTGGCAGTACAGTAATGCCTTTCGGGGCAGAAGACGTCGCGTACAAAAGTGCCTGATGCGCGGCCAACGCGAACAACAGGTTGGCACCAAATAAGGGTCACAGATGCCTATTTGAACATGCTATTGTGCAACATCTCCGCCTGTTGTAGGCTCCAGCTGCTGCCATAATAAAGACACTAGCGCCATCTGCTTTCATCGGTGGCTCAACCCCGCTAAAAGCAGACGGCCCCGATAAAAGTCTTGTGAAAGGCCTCATCTGCCTCCTGCCCACCTGGCACGCCAGTGGGCTCTGGGCCTTAATTTCTTGCTCACAGCTTTGTAACTTCTATTGTTGCTTTTCTCAAGGAAGCCAGAGGAAACCAGCTTTGTAACTTCTATTGTTGCTCTCAGGTCATATATCTTACTTATTCCTTTGCTCTTGGGTAGAGAGAGTGAGCTCCCGTTCCCGGTCATGCAAGGTGGCATGCCCAGCGCAACAGCCGGCAGCGAGGCAGCGCTGCGCCCTCCTGGGGATGGGGACCTCCCGCGGGACACGGGGGCAGAGAGGGACCCTAACCTCAGGGGGACTGCAGGGCTGGCATCTACGTGAGTATCTTTTTTTTTATTTTATTGCATTCTATTTATCAACTTGGGAAAAGTTTGTTCTCATAAAACAATCTATTTTTTTGCATCTTGTTTTCCATAATTCTTATGACTCTCTTGCTGAAATAATTCTAACATAAAGTGATTTATCTCTTATCAAAAATAGCACTGTCTCCTTTCTATATATCCCTATACCACATATCATAGATAGTTTGTCTCTTTCCCATATACTTATTTTTTTGTGGATTTTTGGCATGTTTAAGCAGCAGACCACTTTCAAAGTAATTTAGCTAGCTAGACTACTGAATTGCTAAATTTAGTTTCCTTATTTCTTTCTTAATCTTAGTTCTTCTCTTGTTAAGAGAACAGTTTGCATTTATAGTTATTCCACTAATCGATATTATTCAGTATCATAATCCTCACTTCTTCCTGGCAGACCTGCTCTTTGTCCATGCTTATGTCATTAAGATGTTAATATTATTTTCATCAGTAGTGTCCCGATTTGATAGCCGGTCCATAGGACCCAGTTCTTCACCCTTAAAACACAGTTCACCCATTGACTTTTTAGAGTACACTGACCACTCACAGTCACAGAAAGCTACATTGCTGACTGCCTGGTGGGGTGCAAATGTATTTGTGTATTTGCTTGCACTTATCTCTGCACTAAAAAGTCTCATAGTCTCTGTTTAAAGCCTGAAACTGAAAATTGTCCTGAGAAATTCAGGAGAGTTATTTGAAATCTCTTTCAAAGGCTCGAGACGTTTATTTCTTGGACTCTTAAGTGTTTCTATCCCCAATGTAAAGCAATGTAAAAGTGGTATTTTGTGATTGCTCTGGATTTGAAATAAATGGATTTTAGATCATTGACAATCTTGGATCACCTACAGAGGGACCCACACTCTCCAAATGTAGTTTGTCTAACCCGCATTCCTGAATTAGGAATCTGTACCTCTTCCATGGTCAGCTCAGCTATTAGAAGATGAATCAAATTAAAAACTTCTCTCCGTTTACACATTTAAGTACCCACAAGACAGCTAGGAAATGAGTATCAGCCAGATTAATTTGTCTAGAATAAATCGTGCCAAACAGTCTAGTTTTCTGCTCTGACTAGGTTAACTGCTCCTGTGTATAGCAGAAAAGCCACAGAAGCCGGATATTTTGGTTTTAGAAGGACTTCTAACACTGTCTCTCACGAGCTTTTCTCAAGGAAGCCAGAGGAAACCACTAATGGATGAGTGCCCAACTGAGAATATTTATCAAGCACAGGTTGTTAACTCTGCTGTATGCATGAAGCAGGGTTCTGCAAGAGTACTTATTTGATACTTTGATTAACTGATTTGGGTGAGAGAACAGAAAACCTGCTTACCAAGCCCACTGGCTGGGAGGGGCAGCGAGCGCGTTGCAGGGTAGGGCTCGGACCTGAACAAACCTGGCAAATTATAGTCAGGGAAAAAAGCAACTCGAAGGACACGCTTTCACTCCCGGCTGTTGGCAGAACAACCAACCGCACAAAAAGAGGTTGTGGATTTACTGGTTTGATAGCATCACTGTAAAAACAGACTTGGTGCTAGAGCAGATCACAAACTAGCAGGACTCAGCCATGCCAGGCCATTACAAAAAAGTCAAATAGCACGGGGGTATATACAAAGGGATATCGTTTGTCAGGCAAATGAATTTATTCTTTCGCTATGCTTGGAGCAAGTAAACCCTCAGTTGCAGTATTATAGTCTGCTTTGTCTCGGATAGAAAATTAGAGGTTTTAGGAGGAAGCACTGGAGGAATTGGGAGAAAAGCAGACTCAGGGGAGACCTGGTTGGGGTCCCTAAATAGGCACATTGCATTTCTGAGGGAGAGGGCAATGAACCCATCTCCTTGCCTGCTAACAAGGCTCTGCGAGCCAGAGACCTGGGGGAGAGGTTAGCAACAACTTTCTCATAGTGAAGCTAAGGAAGCACGAGGCGGGATCACTCCGGAGGGTGACAGCCCTGTCTGGTGACTTTTCAAGTGCAAGTTGGGCAAGTATCTCTCAGAAATGACCTAAATATAATTGCCCTTACTTTTTGGGCAGGAGGAAGGAGACACTTCCCAACCCTGTTTTTCCACTATCCCTGGTTGGAGCCGAAAGTCAGAATTGTAACACCTAAGTTTGATATCTAAATTACACATTGTGAATAACAGCTAATTATCACCCTGGGGCTCTTGCCTTCTATTTATTTAATATATCATTAAAAAAGAAATCGTAATGTTCAATAATTCAAAATGGAACCAGCCATAATGTAGGCTGGCACTATGCCTCATAAACTCTATTTGTTTAAAACTGTGTTTTTCCGATTCCTCGGCTTCTTTTAGCTCACACTACCAGCTGTGCTAAAGTCTAAATGGTTTATGATCTAGAGACCTGTCTGTTGGGCATTAGGATGATTCAGTTTATTTAATAAGGGCTTTACTGGAACACCCATTTAAGTTACTGCATAAAGGATGCTGGATGAAAAGCGGAAGGGATAACTCAAACAAATATTACTCATTCTGAAAATGCTAAAACTCAGATTCTGAACAGCCTTTGATATATGACCTCTGCAGAAGGCCTGTAATTAGGACTCTAATCCTTTAAACACTTTAACACATTTAACTTAAAAGTTAATAGGATTAGTCACATGTCTGAAGTGTGCATGACTGGGGCGCAAAACTGTTGTGAATACAGCTGATGGAAAACACTTGCAACGGAGACATTTTTCGGTGGAATATTTTCTTATATTTACTATGTCTAGTCCGAAGAAATTTCCCAATATAGAGATTATTAGTAACATAAAATTTAACCACAAAATAACAACAGCAACATCTTCCTGTAGCTTTGCTAAAATAGAAGTTGTTCATTAAAATAGTGGTATTTGAGGAAAGGGAAAACCAAGAACATTTTCACGCAAATAATTTTTACCATTTTTCAAATGTTCTTCCTAGCTTTATAAACGAGCTGGAAAATTGTATTTTTAAAGGTAGTATTTTCTTGTTTAAAAAAGCATTCTACACAAAAAAGAGTAAATCAACCCGAACTTCCTCCAAGGCAGAAATTAGGGGTTCTTGGGAGTTTTGAGAAGGGTTATTTTGATTTTCTGGAAGATGGATACTTAAATTCACCGATTTTTACAATTCCATCATGGCAAGTTTGAGAGTAAACATGCACAGAGTCAGGCAGATCGGACAGTTACAGAAAAAGAAGAAGAAATGTTTTCCATCTTTTTTTTTCTTCCTTTTTTTTCTTTCCCCTAAACGGAAATATCAGTTTGGCTTAAAAACACAGAGTTGACCCTTCTCTTGCACATTGTCCTTCCCGGCGCAGGGTGACACTTTCTCCACTCATCCTCAGGATTACAGTCAGCAGAGTAAAGAGCGCGTTTAGCCAAGTACTCCTGCCAAGTCTAACGAGGACCAAAGTAAGCAAACGTAAAAGCCAAAGAGCAGCAGCCATCGCTCCGCCAGTACTGTTGTTGTTATACGGGAATCTGAGTCATACAGAGAGGCCTCGCGAGGAAGGCAGCAGTGGAGATGCAAGCAATCGGAGGTGAAGAGGGGAAATCCTAGCTCAAGAGGTGCCGCAGCAACGATGGGGCGGCAGATAGGACCGGCAGAAAATAGCATCATTTCCTTCTTGACGGTATCACGGAGGGGGACAGAAGGCTGAAATTGAGAGAAAAAAAAAAAAGACAAACCAGAAGTTACGTTATCATCTGGTTAGAAAGAAGAATTAAATTAAAAAAAAAAAGGGGGAGGGGTTTTTTTCTTTCGGTGTCCAGTTCTCCATGAGAAGCCGCCTGGAGCAGAGCAAGTTTCGTCCGGTAGATCCGAGACAGCAGGGAAGGCGTTGAAACCAGACGCCGTGGGAAGAGTGGGGCGCCTCGGAGCGTTGCGCTCAGCCCCTCGGAAGGTCGGCGCCGCTCAGAGCTGGCAGCCCCGCTCACCGGGGGCTGCGTTGGCGCGGCGAGGAGCGCGTCCTCTTGCCATCGTG